TGGTAGCAGGTCTGCCTGAGTTTATTTGGAATTTCTGGCAGAACTCACATTTCTGCGCGAAATCTGCGCAGTCCTTTATCATGGTTGGCCAAAAGTACCCTTGCAAGATAGCCTTTCTACTTAGACTAAACGCGCCTTGATGTGATGAGCATATCCCTTCGTGTAACTCTTTGATCACTTGCTGAGCTTGATTTGGCCTCAGACATTTTAGCAGCACTCCATCGTAACTTCTTTTGTAAAGCCTATCATCCTGGATGACATAGTTGGGAGCTCGTCTCCTGATCACTCTTGCCTTGTCTTCTTCTGAGGGCAGCGTTCCGCCTTCGATATATTCCATTAGGTCATCAATCCAGCACCTTGAGGCTTGGCTGATTGGCAAGACCTCTTGGTCCTTGGAAACCTCGATGCTTGGCTTGCTCAGTTCATGCACTCGAGCTATCCGAGTGAGATGTTCAGGCACGTCGTTTGTTAGTTTTGAAAGGATGTCGGCCTCAACATTCTAAGCTCGCAGAACGCAGAGCAGGTCGGACTCCTCAAATTGCTTTATAATTTCCAAGGTTGTGTCCCTGTATTTCTGCATTCGGGCTTCCTTGGCTACATATTCCCCTCTTAGCTGTTTGATGACCAACTTAGAGTCGCTTTTGATCCTCAGTTTCTGGACCTTGAAGTACCTTGCTATCCTGAGGCCGGAGAGTAAGGCCTCATATTCAGCTTTGCTATTGGATAGGTTGAATGAATGCCTGAGAGCGTGGTAAGTTTTGAAGCCTTCAGGGGTGATGAGGACCACCCCTCATCCGCAACCTTTGGAACCTGATGATGATCCATCAGTCATAAGGGTCCACCAATCTTCTTCTTCGCGACGCCTTTCTTCGGCCACGTCCCTGACAGTACATTCCACCAAGAAGTATGCCAAGGCCTGCCCTTCGACTGCGGTTCTAGGCTAGAAGCTCACCTGATACTGGCTGATCAGCAAGGACCATTTCACGACTCGCGCAGTCTTGGTTGTTCTGAACAGAGTTCCCACCCCCAGATCTGACAAGACCTTGATGGGGTGAGCCTGGAAGTAATGGGCAAGTTTCTTTGCTGCGACATAGGCTGCGAGGGCGGTCTTCTCCAGGGTTGGATATCTGAGCTCAACCCCATGGAGAACCTTGCTGACATAATAGACCGGCCTCTGGACTGTCCTTTCTTCTCTCACTAAAACGGAGCTGACCGCGCTCTGGGTTACTCCGAAATATAGAACCAGCGTCTCGCCGGCCTCAAGTTTGCTGAGGAGCAGATCTGATTGTAGATATTTCTTGAGTTCTTCGAACGCAGCTTTACACTCTTGAGTCCACTGGAACCCATTGCTCTTTTTCAGGACTTGGAAAAACGGCAAGGATTTATCGGCTGACCTGGATAGGAACCTCCCCTGGGCTTCCAGCCTTCCTGTGAGGATCTGGACCTCTTTGACATTCCTTGGGGGTTCCATATCTAGAATTGCCTTGACCTTTTCTGGGTTCGGTTCAATGCCTCTGCGTGTGACCATAAACCCCAGGAACTTTTCGCCTTGTACCGCAAAAGTGCATTTCTTAGGATTGAGTCTTAGATTTACCTCTTTCATGATGCCGAATACTTCTCTGAGATCATTTGCGTGGCCGCTAGGTCTTTGACTCTTCACGATCATGTGATCAACCTAAGCTTCCATGTTTCTTCCCGACACTGCCCGAAAGACCTTAGCTACCATCCGGGTATAAGTGGCCCTAGAGTTCCTCAAGCCGAAATCCATTACCAGGTAACAAAAAACTTCCTCTGGTGTGATGAATGAGGTCTTCTCCACATCATCTGGGTGCATGGAGATCTGGTGGTATCCCCTAAATGCATCCATAAAGGAAAGGAGCTCGCATCCGGCGGTCTGATCCACTAGCTGATCTATGCTGGGCAAAGGGAAAGGATCCATGGGACAAGCCTTGTTTAGGTCCGTATAGTCCACACACATTCTCCAAGTAGGTGGTTTAGGCGCCAAGACCACATTGGCGAGCCATTCCGGGTATTGTACCTCCATAATGTGTTTGATACCCAACAACATATTCACTTCCCCATTGATGAATTCCTTCATGTCCAAAGACAGATATCTTCTCTTTTGCTTGACGGGTGTTGCCTTTGGGTCCACGTTCAATCGGTGAACTGCTATACTTTGGTCGAGCCCGGGCGTATCTTCAGGCCCCCAAGAAAAAACCACCTTCAACTGTGTCAGAACCTGAACTATCCTTGCTCTCAGGTCGGTCGGGAGTCCTGCACCAATCTTAACCTGGCGTTCTGGCCGGGAGGGATCGACTCTGACCTCCTCGAGCTCTGAGACGGGCTGAGCTCTGAACTGCCCTTCCTCATACCTGGATAAGTCTTGCTCAATGGCATTGACCCTTATATCATTTCCTCCGTGAGCCTTGTAGGCTCTTACGTAACAACTCCTGGCCATTTTCTGGTCTCCCTTCATCGTGCCTATCCCGGACGGTGTATACAACTTCATGCATAGATGAGCCTGGGAGATAATGGCTCCCAGGTCCTCCAACAAAGGTCGGCCCAGGATGGCCTTGTGAACACTGGGCAGTTGAACAACAACAAAATTCGTTTCGATCTCCCGGACACATGATTCTGATCTGAGCTGGATCTTGAGAATGACCACCCCTCCGGCTCAATCGTATCTCCGACAAAACATGAAAGAGGAGTTTTTATCGGCCTGAGAGCTCCCTTCTGGAGCCCGATCTCCAAGAAAGCATCCATGTATAGTATGTTGACTGAGCTTCCGTTGTCCACGAAAATTCTATGAACAATTGCATCCATAACCTCCATCTTTATCACCAAGGCATCTCTGTGAGGTGGGGGACATGGGGGGAGATCGTCATCCGTGAAAGTGATGAATTCTCGCTTCTGCTTTTTGCCAGCAGGAAGACGGTTGATTTCCCGAAGAATAGTTGGCGGTTCCACTTCTTTCTTTCCCCCGCAGTGTCTCCTCCGACAGGTCCACCATAGATTTGGTTGACATGAGGGCGCTTTTGCCGGCCTGAATCCTCTCCTTCATCATCATCCTCGAACTGGGCCCCGACCTCCCTCTTTTAGAGGTTGAGGCCGGCTCATCTTTCCCCTTGTTCCATGTGTTCTTTGTCCCTGCTGGTTTTTCTTCACAAACTGGTCCAATTGCCCTTCACATATGACTCTCTCCACATACTTCTTCAGAAGGTAACAATTATCAGTTTGGTGAGTATCGCTCTTGTGTGGAGCTTACAATACTTACCCTTAGAAGCCTGGCTGTTGACGACGTTGCATCCCTCCGGGATCGTTATCAAGCCCTGCTTTGCCGCGTAGTCCAGGACAGTACCTACCGGATGTGTCAATGGTGAAAATCAGATTGGCCGGACAAAGGTCCTTCGAGAACGCCTGAGCTTCTCTTTCCCCGACCCTTCTTTAATTTTCCTTTTAGACCCATTGCCCTTGTCCGAGTCATGAGTCTCCTTCTCTGAGGACTTTTTCTTCTTGCTTTCAGGTTGGCGCTTTCCGGTCTCCTCTTCTCTCTTCGTTTTTTTTAAACATGATAATATTGCAGATTAAACTCCAAAATGTGGGCAAATTGTAGCAAATGTGTTCTACAAGTTCATGCATTCTCCTCTTATCTCTTCCTTTTCTCAGCTTCTTCCACTTCAGCTGGCGTGTTGGCACGCAACAAATCTTCCTCGTGTGAGATCGGGGGATTGCGCACAAAATCTTTATACAGTTCGCCTGACCTCAGGGCATTGGTGAGTATGGCGACATCGGATTTGTCATCCAGGTCATCCACTTTCACCGATTCGTCCCTCCACCGAGTTAGGAAGTCAACTAAGCTTTCATGGGGTCCCTGTCTGATCCCTAGGAGGTGAGAGAAATTCTTCGTGGAGTCTTTGGAGCTGGCGAACCGGGCCACAAAAGCATGGGTCAACTCCCTAAAGCTTCGGATCCTCCCATCATGTAGAGAGTCGTACCACTTCCGGGTCGTTCCGTCTAGGGTCACTGAGAACCCTCTACACTTGATAGCATCATCGTACCCCATCATCACCATATACGCCACATATCTAGAAACATGGTGTTGGGGATGGGTCTTTCCTCGATAGGCCTCAATATTGCATGGCCTGTATCCCTGCGGCAGTGGAGCATCCATGATCTGGCGAGTGAACGGTTCGGGAATCCTTACTTCATGATTGGGGTTAATCCTGTCGTCCACCTCCCTCCTGAGCTCTTCCAACCTCCTCCTCAGGTCATCGTTTCCATGACTAGCTCGAGGTGGGGTTCGGCGATCTACGTGGGCCTGCCGGTTGGCGTTGATCTCGTCCTTGAGATCTCCCCCACGCGTGTTACGGTGGTGGGATGAAACGGCCGCGGATGATGCCTCCTCACTCTGCTCAGCCCTGGATGAGATTCTGTCATGCACGGAGATACCTTGCCCGCCGATTCGGTCCATCACCGAGGTTCTCGGGGTCTGCCTGGAGTGATGGGACCGCTGAGACCGGGTTGGCGGAGAGTTTCTCCCGTTGAGGCATGGATGGAGCCCGACGAGGGGAAGATTAGCATCAAGAATAATACCTTGAAAACCGGTGGTCAGAGTTTCCACAGCCCTCTGGAATATTGCCAAACTTGCCAAGGCTTGGGCCAGATCGACGTTGGGGATGAGGTTCCCGGTGTCTGGCGTCTGGAACTACGGTGGCCGCACCGCCGTGTGCCTGGAACTCCCAACGCCATGGAGATGATTTCTCAAATCACCCTGAGCTGCGGTGTTGTCATTACGCCTCCTGAAATCACTGCGTCGTGACCTAGAATCCTCGTCCTCGATCACGACTTGATTGAAACGATCACCGCCTTGATTGCTACCCATGCGGTTGTGACTAGTTGATCCAACCATCGTCTTCACAGATCGTTCTCTCAATGAGAGCACCAAATGATGAAGTTTAATCCAACTACGAGAGCTAAATCCACGAAAGTAGATGAAAGTATGGCAGCGTAAGACATTATTATTATTATTCGGATGAACGATTCACCGATCCTTCTATGGGAGAAGAATTACAGGAAGTATTTATAGACTATAGGAACTAGTATTCTAGGAGAAAACTGCTACAATAAATGCTATTAATTACATATTAACTGAAGGGGCTTGATCTATAATTCCGTAGTTGATCATGATCAGAGTCCATGGTAGCATCAAATAGGACTAAGGTAGTAACAATTAAAATCATTATCCGAAGTTTGTCATGTTTAATCAAGAAACCTTTTGGTAAGGTGATATGCGTTTAGTAATATTAGATGTAATTTTCTCTAACTTAAATTTTGAAAAATGTGAGTAGAGAGTACTTTGAATAAGAAAGAGCATGGAAAAATTAAAGAAGAAAGTGAAAAGGTAATTTAAAAATGGAAATAAAACATTCAAACAAATACAGTAGTAGGGAAAAAGTTTGTTTATGAATGATGGAAAAGGTAGGTAAGCTAGCGGCGGGCAGTGATGATGCTTGAGAGAGTGAGGAGGTCTTGGGTGGAGGTGCCATTGGGCGAAACAGCTTTGCGGAGGGAGTCTCTGTAGGCTTCAGCTTGGGTTCGGAATGCCGTGCCGCGGAGGGCGGAGTGAAGAGCGGACTTGGTGGCGGGCGTGGTGAAGACGCCAGACTCCACCCGGGCTCCAATTCTCCACACATTCTCCACCATCCAAGAATTCATATGGTGATCCCCAAAGAAAGGCCTGCAAATCAAGGGCACCCCTGCCGTGATGCTCTCCAGCACCGAATTCCACCCGCCGTGGCTCACAAACACCCCCACCGACCCGTGCCCCAAAACCCTCACTTGAGGTGCCCAACTCACTATTTTCCCGTACCCCTTCGTCCTCTCCACGAACCCTTCCGGTAACCCCATCACCGCCTCCTCCCTCAGCGACCACAGAAAAGGCGTCTTCGTCTCCTCCACCGCTTCCGCCACCGCCGCCAACTCCTTTACCGGCGGGATGCACACCGTCCCGAAGGCTATGTACGCCACAGATCTTTCCCGCTGGCCGTCCAGCCACGCCATGCACCCTCCTCCACCTTCTTCCTGTGCAGCCGCTGTCACCGGGCCCGGTGCGGTCACATTGAATGGCCCCACGTTGAGAATTCTTGAAGAACCGGTCTTCAGTTGATTTACGGCAGCCGGCTCCAGGTCTTGGAAGGAATTGATGGCCACTGCTGTGGCCTTCGGTAAGGTGCGCCCCATCTTATGGAGCATCACGGCGAACGGCGACTCTAGGTTTCCGGTGATGATCCCCCCGGGTATATCTCCCACCCGTACCTCCGTTATTCCAGGAATGAATGTCAGTCTCTCATCTTCACGTTCCCCCATTCCTACAAGTTCACCACCACTCATTATTTTTCAAAATTTCACATATATAATCATATCTTAGCTTTATTACTATTCCAAGAATAACTCTTTCATGTAGTAGCATGCATCTTATTTAATGACGGCTATTAACTTATCCATAAAATTGAAATATGCAGAATAAAATGCACAAAAATGTCAATGCATCGTACCTTTATTATGCACTTTACTTTCACCTAATGAGTAATGACACATTTCAATTTCACTTAATGTATAGTTTTGCTTTACTTAATGTCACACACTCATATATATAATCCGGTATCAATAAAAAGTACTCGTAAAATACAAAATGCGAACACCTCCATTTTGTGAGTCTCTGAGTTGCACTATTGCATTTAAAAATTTCTCCACATCCACTTTTAATCCTTATCGTACACAACTTCACACTGGAAATCCACTTTAATGCATTTTTGATGTATTTAGAACCATTAGATCCTAAATTTGATGAGCTAGATTTATTCCTATTTTAATGGGAATGGCTATTTGTATATATTTATAGGGGAGAGTTCAGATAAAAAGTGATGTTTCAGTGCAAAGTAGGAACGATTATACTTTTTGCTCCATGTGATGCACTATTTCATGTTTGTATTGCAATTTTTTGAGGCGGCAGAAAACAGTAATTTATTTACGAAATTGTCACTGTGTTTTAAGTCAAATCAAGTGCATTTTGACTTATTTTGAGCCATAAGATGTGGAATTGAATGCACATGACTTATCACCACTTTGCATGGGAAATCCCTTTGTATTTGAACCCTTACATATATATGTAGGGTTGTAAACGAATCGAACCGAATACTTGATAATATTATTCGTATTCGTATAATAATCGAATATTCGTATTCGTATTCGTTTAAAATTCGAATTTTATTTTGTATTCGTATTCGGTTCGTTTGATATATTCGAATCTTTTTCGAATCGAATTCGAATATTCAAATTCAAAAAACATTAAAGTTAATTTGTGAAAATAATTAAAATTATGATGTTAGTTTGCCCCTTTTAACTAATTTTCATATTACATATTTTATAGGAAACAAAATTCATTTATAGAAGTCACTTCAAATTTAATATAGATATAGATAAATTAACAGAGAATTTAAATTGTAAATTAAGCTATTTTGACCTGGTAAATTAAGAATTTTTAAATTAAAATATGCAAAATATTTACATGAATATTTTGTTATTAATATTTTTACATTGAACTATATGTATTCATAAGAAGTAGTATATATTGTATGAATTTGTTGGGCATTGATGCAACACAAACGGCCAAATCAACATCTTGTTGGGCAGCATATAGAATTTGTGATGAATATGCGTGACGATTGTAAACGAATTGGATCGAGTCGAGTAGTGCATATTTGTATTCATATGTGTTTAATTGTTTCAAATATGAATCCGAATTCGAATATGAATAGAATATTAATTTTAATTTGTATAAACGTATTCATTTAACACTAGACTAGATATCACTTTAAAACCGTGTTTTCCTAGATATTTTGTTACGTTATAAATGCATGCTATGACTTAATATGTTTTTTTAATTTAATTTGTGCACAATAAACTGAACTACTAAAGCAGATCAATTTTATGATTAATATACATGAATCTATTTCAATGTTTTTGAAATAAGCACTAACGCACACATATTAGAACTTATACTTTAATGTGTGAAATAAGTTGATAATTATATCTCATGGAGTTTAATCCAACTACGAGAGCTATATCTATGAGAGCAGATGAAATTTAGGTAGCATAAGACAGTATTCTTATTCCAGAATCCGGTCCTTTGGTAGGACTGAGGAAGTATTTATAGACCTTGAGAACTAGTATTTTAAGAGTAAACTAATACATTAAATGATATTAATTACATAAGAGTCATGTAACGTTTTGACCATTGTGCAATGATTGTTTACTCTAGGTACACGTTTCTTCGGTTACCCTGTATGCTGCCAGATAGCTATGAACGAATGATAGCCTGCCACATAAGCCCTAGGAAGAGCCTGACCTCGCTAGAACTATGTCCAGGCTCGAGGTCTGCTGTCTAGTCTGGTCTGGCTGTAGGTTCCTTTCACGGGTAAGATTCCTAGTTAGGCCCAGCGGCTAATTAATATTAATCTCGTTTATGGGCTGATCCCGTTGAGGGCTAATCCTGTTTATGGGCTGATGCCGTTTATGGGCTTTTATTATAATTCCACATTTGGGCCATGGTCGTAATCCATGGTACCATCAATATCAAAGTAAACCGATTCTAATTTTATGTTAGATATTTAACATTACTGATAATAAAATAACCGATTAGATATATGGTTTATACTTTACATACGCACATATACTGGATAGTTGATGTTGTATATGTATAAACCAATATAATTTATTATCCATCATATCAAATATGTATTTGTTTGCATTCTCATTTGAAAATTGTTTGAACCGAAAATCTAATTTCTATTCGCATTCATATTCTATATTTTCAAATTCAAATCATAGTTTTTTAATCTAATTCATGAATCAGATCTAAATTATTTGTTTCATGTATAAGCATTGCTTTGTATGATAGTTCTTATTTATTATTAATGATGAAACTAGAAATCTGTATACGTAAATGTATATATGAGCTACACTTTGAAGGTATAACTAGCTTTTAAAAGTTATTATAGTGTTATTAGTATTATTATTAGTTATTATCATTATGCTAATATAACTATTACTAACTGAATATATTTGGTTAAAATTCAAATTGAATATGTTATATTTTTACTTGTATTTGATAACAATTCGAATCAAATTCAATATTCTTGTTTGTATTGGAATTTTTCGAGTTTGAATAGTCTTATACGAATTTGAATCCTGAACCGGACATAAATTATTTGATTCGTATTCAACTTTAGTGTGCACTAACTACTCTCGTGAACTAAAATTGTAAATATTTCATTTTAGAATTTGATGAATAATATTCTTGACAGGAAAGGCCCTACAATCTATGGGAACATTTTCTATGGTAAAGCAGTCACAGGATTTCCTTCTGCATCTGAACCAACAAGGGCGTTAGCTTTATATCATGTCCATTTTTTTTAAATCTCTTTTTGTTCTGCACAATTTCTAAAGTAGTTCTTATCCAGAGCTTCTTGTTGAGGGAGGATATGACTATCACTGAGTATTCATAGAGTTAAAAGTGGCACTCTCATTGTTTTCAGTATGGCATTATTTGGTTAGTGGAAGCTCAGTTTGTTAGCTGATAATTATGTAAAACGATAGTGATGTTATAGAAGTTTTGCTTGTTTATTCTTCATGCTAACATGGAAAATGTGATCTATCAATCACATTTTTCTTTAACAGGATGAACTTAAAGCTCATTCACACTCAAATGGTGGGAACAGAAGTAGTGACCCTAGAGCTATAGGAGAACCAGATGTGGTTTTGTCAACCGATGGAATCCTAACCCATCCATGTAAAGCTCTTTTCTTTGATTTTAACATAGGATCAAGTTATACTCTTTTCTATATCTTCGTGGCCTAGTCTGATCTAAATGGTTTTTGTCATAGATTGTTTATGGGAGATTTAATTAACTAGTACTCCCTCCGTCTCACTAACCATGGAAGAAGAGGAGGTGACACACAAATCAATAAAGAGTGGTTCATGTAGTTGATATTAAATTGATAAAGTAAGAATAAAGTAAGAATGATTTAGGTCACACAAACTTTACCAAATTTGATATAAGACAATCTTAGTGAGACGGATCAAAAAGGGTAAAATGGGACAATCTTAGCGAGGCGGAGGGAGTAATAAATAAAAGCAAAATTGCAACAATAGAAACATAAAGTTTAAATTCTCAAAATAGGGCTAACTCTTCCTATCTTACCAATTTCCTTGTCATGTTTAATAGAATTTTTTAAATAGCAATAATAAAATAATTTTAAAAAAATAAAAAAAGAGAAGAAAAAAAACATGCAAGGCTCAACCACCGCCAAAGTCATCTTCCAGCACCGCCACCTTTGGTCGTCGAAAAAACGTCATCTTGAAAAAATTGTCATCGTACCGACAATTTTGAAAGCAAAGTTGGATATTTTCAAAGAATAAAATGTTGAATTCCCACACATGATATTTGTGAAGGCATTAACATGGAACCCCAAATCTTAACATGGTATTAGAGTCAAATTGATCCATGGTGTGGGTCCCCTTATGAAAAATGATTGACATGATTAAAAAATGAAAATAACGAATCGATGAAAAAATGAATGACAACACGATCAAGACAAAGTGTCTGGTGGTTAAGAGGGGGTGTTGAATTCCCACACCGGATATTTGTGAAGGCATTAAGTGTTATATTAGGATGTGGACTATTCTTCCTATAAGTTTGACCTCTTAGAATGGAACCCTAGATCTTAAATAAAATGTCATTTCATGACAATTTCAAAGGAATGGAGCAGATTTACACAAGATGATAATTTTTCCGGCGATCGGAGCTGGTGATGTTGAGAGGTAGAGGATGCGGCATGAGGCTTACAATTTTTTTTTTAATTCATGAGAGGCAAATTCAGTTTTTTCGATTCCATTTTTGAGACAAAATCAAATACGGAATTAGAGTAAAAAGTTTGATTTGGTTTTGATTATGCATTGTAAAACTTGAAAGCAAAATTTGATTGGTTGGATATCTCGATTCGGTTGTATTTTTCGATCATTTTATATTGAGAGTATTACACTGGTCATAATATTATTTATACGTAATGTTCCCTACCATTAAGACATGTATACATGGGTAGCATGCTTTGCATTGCCCATGCATTATTCTCCTTCATCCTTCATTTTGATGTATTATGTATTATTATATATAGCACCTTACGGGATGCACAATAAAGAAAGTAGTTTTTCCCTTTTTCCATGAGTTCATATGCATTCAATAACAATTCATATTTTATCATTAGTCTTCGGTTTTAACATGGTATCAGAGCCAAAATCTGGAAGTCAT